TTATAACCATATAACCGCGTAATAACCGTATAACGCGGTTATATGGTTATAACTACGTTTATAACTGTATAACCGCGTATAACCGTGATTTTTTTGAAGTGATATAACGCGGTTATACAGTTATTATAGTTAGTAAGACATTAGGTCTTCTTCTTTTTCTGTCATGTACCAATAACCTTCCCAAATGTACCTCAATCACAAAACTCTATTTAAATAAAAGTAAAATCATATCTGTTTTAAAAGAAAATAATAATTCAATTAATTTAAGAGGCCGTGGCGCAGTGGTTAGAGTGCTTGCTTTAGAAGCAAGTTATCGGGGATTCAAAGCCAGCTTTTGGGCGTATAACCCGCCATTGGTAAAAAAGGAAGCGTAAACTTCGCGGTCAAATACCCTTTCACATTGCTCTGTGACAAAACCGTTAGGTCTTCTTGGGGCACCTAAAAGCAAAAATTAAAAAATCAAAAAAAAAATTTACAAAAAGATATTAGTTTAATTATATGAATGGTCAAATATATTGTTAATGGATTTTAACATAAGGAAACGCATTATCATGCACATTAGAAGAAAAACATTTTTTTTTAGTTAATGTACAGTTCTACAAGTTACAATCACACTTTAGCATAACCAGTAAAAGCAGCACATAGCTTAAAAATCAATAAAATTAACAAAAACATTGAATACCTTCGGAAAACTAATCATCAAAAATTTTGAAACAATACCCAAAGAATCAATTCATCTTCAAGCACACGTATTCTCATTATTAATAAAAAACAAGATAGAAAAGAAGTTGTAGAAGAATTTTTACAAAACTTTAATAAGTCTCTTAACACTCCCACAATTACTAACAACAATCATGAATACCCTCATATTCCACAACTCATAAATGAATCTAGTGAAATACTCTTTTCAACTTTCGACATAGAAGCTTGTATTCTTAATCTAGGTCTAGAAAGTTGCACGATTCCTGTTGAATTACTGCAGGGCATCTTAAACACTTTTTTTTAGCAAAAACCTCCAAATATACCTTTTGAATTTTTGTAATAATATCTATAATGATGGAGCTGTCCCAGAGTATTTATCAACTTCCATTATTGTTCCATCAGTAAAATCTTGTAAAATATCTCTTGATAGTCCAGGTAATTATCGCGAAAATAATATCATACCTATTTTGACAAAATTCTTTGAAAATATTGTCAAGCAAGTTATCCGGAAATATCAAATAAACACTCTCATAAATTTGGTTTCAAGAAAAATAGCTCAACACCTCACGCAAATTTTTTTTTGAGTGAAACAATGAAACACTACAATAGTAATAACTAATCCGTAAATTTCTTTAATTTAGATGCAAATAAGGCTTTTGATAGCTGTAACCGGGACTTGTAATAAAAGAAAAAATTTACTGCTATCAGTCGGTCGCACACTAGAATCATTATACCTTTAGGTACTGCTAGTAAATTATACCTTGGACATAAATCAAATCATTTCCAATGATTTGATTTATAACAATATACAAAATATAGCTACTCTTTAAACAGCAAATGTAAACGAAAGCATTATTAAATTTCAATCAGTTTCCAGAGCTCTTAGAAAATCTGAAATTCATTTTTGTCAGCCACTAATTATATTGCATTTGTTCAAATCTCTGGCTGTACTGAACCTATTGTACGGTTTAGAAATTTTTAATTATAACAAGTTTGGAACTTTTTTCCAGTGAGCAAATCCAGGTTTTGCGTTTTTTATAAAATCCTGACCCGAATATAATAAGTGCTTGAAAATCGAATTCGTTTTTAATAGTGTATAAGTTATAACAAATTTTGCTATAATACATTAAAAATAATTATTTAATAAAATAAACCTATTAAATTATCTGCATATCGCAACTTATTATAATAAAATGAGTATAAACGGTTTAAATAAATTTAAATAATTCGGGTCTTGATTTTAAAAAAAAGACGTGAAACCTTTTTTTGCTCACTGGAAAAAAGTATCAACCATTTTTTATCATGCATTTTTTAATAAATGCAGTTGCTATCGAAAAATCGGCGTTAAAACTCCTCTTCAGCATAACAAAGTACAGCAAAAATTATCTACATTCTTTCTTTAAAATGATGTCTACTAAAATTGATGTCTGATCCTCATTCAAAACAAAATAAATCTGTTTACCAGACTACTGAGCTATCTGACTTGTTTTTCCCTGATTTCGATACAATTATTAAAGATTAATACGGATAACCACTTTATCAACTAAGTAATGCTAATTTGCAACCGAATAAAGCTAAACTTCGTCCAGTGTTTGATTGAAAGGAAAAAAAATCATTGTCAAAGGTTCTGACGTTGACATAGAAGATAAAATAGCGGCAACTCTAAACCATTCCTTTGAATTCCGGAATATCATATAATATAATTTTTTTTATCTAACTTCGACTTACCCTAACTTATCCTGTTTTTAAAAAGAAATCAAAAGATTTCATTCTCTCTATTGAAAATATCTTAGAATGCTTTTAATTTATCGTGTGATGAAATGATGTTTTTTTGTTTTGAGTCAAGTATGTTCAATTTTTATTTTATATTTGAATACTATTTATTTTCATTTATTTAATTTTTTGTGTGTTATTTTGACGTACTCTTTTTGTAAAAAGGCGTTTTTATGTTACTTTACCTACTCTCTTTTCTAACAATAAGATCATTGTGGTTTTCTTTTAGAAGCGTTTATATTTGTAAAATATCTAATTTATATATATTACGTCGAATATTAACAAAATATTACAAAAAAATAATAATAATAAATAAAGAACAAAGAACCATATTTAAAAATTTACTGGAAGAGTATATTTCAAAAAATATCTAAATTAAACTTCAGACTAATTGAATAAACTATTAGTTTTATACACTTTGTTTTTTTACTGGTAATTTGGGAGACGAAAATAAATAAATAAATAAATAAAATATAACAATAAAATTTCTAGAAAAAAAAAAGAATAAGAACGAGACAGGTGTAATAGTGCTGTTAAATATAAAATTATCAGATTCAATTAAATACGTGTGAAGCGAAGAATCTTATTCACCACAAGAAAAAGTTTTACTTATTTTAACACTGAAACAGTAAAGCAGCTATACATATTACTGATTTGAGCATACCTAAAATCACTGGGTAGACCACACCTAGAATCACTGGTTAGACCATGCCTAGAATCACTGGTTAGACGACACCTAGAATTTGCTGTTCCAGAATGGAGTCTAACTAATAAAAAATACCAGTTATCTGAAAAAAAATCCCAAGACAAGAAACGAAAGAAGTCCTTAACTAAAACATTTAAATTATGCTAAAATGTTAATAATGTTAGTTTTCACAACACTAGAAGCAAGGACAAAATAACAACTGGGGTTATTATGACACTATGTTGTGAAGAGCTTCATAAAGTTTCTTCACAAAGTATAACAGACAACTCATTAAAACTTGAATAGAAATTTGCAAAAACAACTCTAATGCATAACTTTTTTGCTTGTATTACCTGATTGAAATAAATTACAAAGGTTCTATCTGCAAAAAAAAAATTAAATTATTTCCAAGAAAGACTTGTAAACATTTTTCAATGGCTCTCAAAGTATAAATTTTAAACTTTACGCTTTGCAACAGGCAAATTACTATATCTAATAGTTTGTTTTATAAATTTATAAAACAAATTATTAGATATATTAATACAAATTGTTACCGCGATTTGTATTACTAAATCTAATAAAATGTTTTATACATTTTTTGCGGTTTAAAATAAAATTGAAATAATACAATTACTGGTAATGGCATACTGGTTCTGTTAAAACACACTGTACTATTTGAACATAGTTGAATTGGTATAACTTGACAGTCATACTGCTCTAGTTTAGTTTAGATCTAAAGGCGGCAAGCTGGCTAAAACATAATTGGATTACGTAAACGTAACAGTAGCTATTTAAAATCCTGCTCCGAATATTCATTTTCAACACAGCTATGGTTCAATTTAATTCTGGCACACCATTCACGAATTTTTATTGTGTGGTACATGCATTACTTGATCACGATTTGTAATTAACCTTTATTAAAATAAATAAAAAAGGTGACACGGACTCATCTAGTTTCTAGTAATGTCTGTAATTTGGGGCAAATACCCATTTTTAAGGAAAGTTAAAATAAGCCCGTAGAAATAGTGTAAATGTCAAGGTTATTCATTTATTGTATAAGTTGTGAAATAAGGAAAAACGAGTCCTTTAGGTGAACCTTTTTATATATTTTTTTATAATAGATGCAAGATTGATAAGAATACTTAAGCATTATTTTTTGAAAAAATTTGTAACAAAATTTTATGATTTTAGTTGAATCCGTTTTATAACTGCATTAGAAAGTTATTTTAAATCAATTGCAGTGTTTAAAACTTTTTTTTTCTTCAAAACACGAAACTTAAAAAGACTTAAAAATTCATAGAGGATTGTAATGAAAATAGCAATTAAAAAGGTAGTTCTACGTTTCCAATTACAGCAAAGACATATTTACGATAAAAGTGCGATTTGAGATTGAATTTAGTTTAGCGCTACAATAACTGCGCCACGAATATTGTAAATATGATAGAGATAATGATGAACATAATAGAGAAATGATTTGGGAAAAGACATTACAACGCAGATATGGGAAAAATATATTTTATAATATGTATGTTATAAAAGCTGATAGGCAGTGACAAAGCAAGCGACAATAAGCTATTCTGAAAGTACAGTTAAAAAAAAGTGTTTTAATGAAGCACGGCCGTGCTTCATTAAAACTCTTAATTTTTTAAAACACTTCATTTTTCCGCGGAAAAAGTTGCATATTTAGTATCGTGCTTTTGATTTGAAACCAGTTTTCGGGGTATTCATTACAGTATTTTTTAGGTATAGTGTTACCGTACTTAATGACATTTATTGTAAGTATTTAAAAAAGCACTTAGAAAGAAATTTATATTTTTTTCTAGAAATAATATCAATAGTAATATTTTCAAATAATAAATATAATAGTAATATTTGAGAAAACCTTAAGATTTAAATCATTACAATAAACATAATGATCAACATGAAATTATAAAAATGTTGAAAAGTGTTTAGTACGCATACAATTTTGTTCTGTTGACGTCTTTTTCAGTGCATTCACGGTTCTTATTATAGTAATAAAATGTCCCGTCCCGTCTCTCCAATTTTTTCACATAACCACTTTGCGGCCAGCGGTCGATCTAGGAAAAAAACTTAATATTAAAAAATGTCATTAAAATAAAATGTCATTAAACTTCGAAAATGAATAAATGAAATCGTAGACTCAAAGAAAAGTAAAATTTTAAATTCAGAGAATAAAATAGAGATTTTGAAGATTTCCAAAACAGAAAGAATGAAACAAAGTTATTATTTATCTATATGAGACTAAATAAAGCATATCGGTTGAATAAATTAGGCCTATTGGTAATGAAAAACAGATTTTTAGTTGTTTTAAAGTTAAGAGTTTAACTGACTAGTACAAGTAATAAAATAACATCTTTTAAGTTTTGTCTGCGTAGTAAAATTCAAATTATACGAAATCATTCGATAGCCTCACAATTCTTAATGTGGATGTTGGTGATAGCAGGGTAAAGCTTTTTTTAAACTAAATTTTTCAAGTTTAAAAATTTTTTTTATAAATATACAAACAAATTTAAGACTCTAAATGGTGGATAATAAATATACATAAATCACGTAAGGTTATCCTGTTACTGGTAACATGTAATCCAGTACAATCTGCTTCATCTCCTACTGCCTTGTAGAATACGCTTTTTAAAGCAAAGGCTAGGAGAAGCCAATTACGACTTAACAAACCTCCTGCCTTTGGGCTCTTGGTTGAAGAAAGACTAGAAATGGTGTCTCGATAAAAATACTTATCTTGAAAAGACGTTAAATGCATCAGGCTACTGTCTTGTAGAAGACCTCCTATGAAAAGACTTAACAGGTAATCAAATTCTGCTGGCATGCTTCACACCCCTTCTTTAGCGATTAGATTATCGATGGCGTAGATGTATTTACAATACATTGTTTTGAGCTTAAGATGTTGAATGCTGGTTCTTCTTGACTCAATTGCTTGTGTCTCTGTTTTTATGTTTAGACAAATCATTCTATTATCTCCTAATGAGGATACAGCTTTAAAACTTATTTTTATGGCTATGAGGCCGGTTAGTAGTCAGGTTTACTAAACTCTGTGATAGCTCTAAGAGAAGCCGAATCCATCAACAGCTGTAAAATATGAGAGTACTAACAATGACATGTTGCGCATGGATGGTACCCTTGTTTGTACTGTTAGTGTGTATTGAAATTTAGGTAATTGCTTGGACTATTAGATAGTGTACTGAGTGCCATCTGTGCTTTAAATCAAGTTTTTTAACCAATTTAAAAAATGACTGCTGTATCAAAAACTATAAAATAAAAAATCATCGTCATCACCAAGTTCTCTAAATCTATTATTCAGTAATATTTGTGGTCTTCAAAGTAACTTTTTTTCTGTTGAGTCTAACCTCTTTAAAAATTCACCAGACCTACTTGCTCTTTGTGAGACTAATTTGAGTTCAGCTGTCTCACCTTGTTATCTTAGTGTTGATGGTTATCTTCTTTTAATTAGTAAATACTCTAATAGTCACATGCTTGACCCGGACATTCACAATAAGAATTCACTTATTTGTTAAGAAACTAAGTTAAAATCCACAGAATATTCTTTTATGTGTTCCGTTTAACACCACTTCACTCTATCACCTTTCTCTTTGTTTTATACTATAAAGAATACTATTTTATATATGCAGCATCTGTCATCCCTATTTTCAAATATTCTGAAGAGAGATCCAACTCGTCTTACTACCATCCCATTTGTCTCACTATCATAAGCAAGGTTTTTTAAGTCTTTAATTAACAAATATTTAATCTCTTATCTTAAATCTAATAACTTACTTTCTGATCATCAATATGGATTTCAATTTTCTTGTTCTACTGCTGATTTGTTAACAATATAACTGATAGGTTTTATCATGCATTAGATAGATGTGGATAGGCTATCGTTCTCGATATTTCTAAAGCCTTTAATAAAGCTTTGCATGCTGGTCTTTTCCATAAGCTCTTTTCTTACGGTGTATCATGTACCATCTTTAAGATTATTAAATCCTTCCTCACCAATTATAGTATAAAAGTTGTTCTCAATTGACAGTACTCTTTTTTATTTCCTGTAACTTAAGGGGTTCCTCAGGTTTTATCTCTGGTCTAATGCCTTTTTTTATTTACTTGATATGAAGCCAACACTCTCAGGTTAAATGGAGGGGGCATTTGTGCTTAAAAAATATCACTTCTACTACAGCATGAAGCAATTAGTGGTTGGTAAACTTTAACTCAGATAAAACTCACTTTTTTATTTAATCATTACCGCAACAGTCTAAATCTTCCTATATTTTTAAGCGGTAATGTACTCGATGAGCCATCTACCCGTCATCTTCTAAGATTAACTCTTACGTCCGATCATTCTTTGAAATATTAAATCCATTGCAAAGTTAGCATATGCTAAGATTGATCACTTTTTCGTACTTGCCACTTTCTTAATCAGGATTCTTTTTTTTTTTATCTCTTTAAATCTCTAATCCGTTCTTGTATGGAATACTATTGCCATATCTAGAACGGATTTTCGAATGATGCCCTTTCTCTTAATGTTTGTTGTAATGTTTCTCTTTCTCTTTAATACTATAATGGGCGCTGTGACTGTTTCTAATATCTACAAAATTCCTTTTCGTCTAATTTTTTTCCTTAAACTTCAGTCCTTTGGATTTCGCTGCAACCATCTTGTTTTCCTGATCTTTATATTGCTTTTTAAACTTCATCTTTCTCTTCCAGTAACTTCCAACTCTAACAGTGGTTTCTTGCAGTCTTATTAGAAGTGAAGATTTTTAAAACAAATTAGAAAAAAAACAATTGCCTTATTAAGTTTTTGTTTCTATTTTTTTATTATTTTGTTATTATTTATTTAACATAAAGCTAGTACTGGTTACTCATTCCTTTTTATTTTCCTTTAAACAACCAAGAAAAATAATGAATTGTTTTTTAACCATATAGATATCAAGGTATCTTTTTTTACAAGTTCAAAAATTTACGCCAATACAAGTGCAATACAAGTGCAATACAAGTGCAATACAGGTGCAATAGCAAAACCAGCGTCAGATAAAGTTTTCCATCTATATTATACAACTTACTTATCTGTAAATTAAACTTTGAAGTATCTTTCGTATCATTGTACAGACTATTCATAAATTTATATTTTTGGACCTGTTGGAAAATGAATATGGTTGGACCACATAAACTCTAAGATATTATTTTTTTATTTTACCAACAAAAAAAAAAATACTTTTTTAAAATAAATAAAAATTTAAAAAATCAAGCTTCTATGGTTGTTTTTTTTTATATACAATTAAATAAAACTAAGTATAAAAACCTCAATATCTTTATTGATATGCTGATATTCCTTAGCGTCTCTATATCCAGCAACTTGAAATCGGTATGCTAAATTAATAATTATTTTATAAAATTAACAATTTTATAAAAAAAAGCTGTTCAAACTAAAATTCAAAGTAACTTTTGTTTTAAGTCAAGAAGACTGCCTTATTGTTGGACTTGTGAAATATATATTGAAAATAGCTTTTAATCTGGTCCCTCATTATAACTTCTTTAATATAAATAGATTTAAAATTAAGAAGTTATAAAAATTACAAATATTTAAAGATAAGTTAAATACGTCAGAGTTTAATGCAATTATAAAATATTTGTCACAAAGAATGCATAAGGAGTAGTAGTAGTAGTAGTAGTAGTAGTAGTAGTAGTAGTAGTAGTAGTAGTAGTAGTAGTAGCAATAGAGCAGTGACTAGGCTCTCCCCCCCAACCAGCTTTGCTCCTAATTATTAGAAATGGGGCAGCAATTTAGCGGGACATTTGAAAATTTAGGGGTCTTTGTTCAAATTAAAGGAGTTTTTTTTTTTTTTTTTTTTTTTTGCGGGGTTTTATCTTCAAGAAAATTTTTAATAATTTTGGGGCACTAATGGTAGGTTATTTTAGGTAGAAGTTTTTTTTTACAATATAATATATAAAAACGTAGTTTAAAAACAACCGAAAATAAATGTCTAAAATTTTGTTTACAATATTAGTTTTTCTATTAGCTTTTTAAAAAAATCATCTAAAGCTCGCGCCCTAAACCTTTTTTTAATCATCAACTCCAACCACTGTGATACTCTAACTATATAAGGTAGTCTGGTTGCTTTTGTTAATAAGTAAAACAAAAGTAAACTTTGAAACACAAATCTTGACAATCAAAGCTGCGCTGCGGAGAAACAAGTTGAGCAGTACATCCATCGACGTGGTGTGTTCAAACTTTTTTTTGGTTGTTATGAAACGCTATACCACTACACCACCACCATTTAATTTATTTGTTTCCCACCACAAACTAGATAAAACTAGTATAAATGTTAATTTATTATATTAAAGTAAATATTACCTTCCTCAACTTGATCATTCCATTGCTTTGGTCTGAGAATAGATTTTGGTTGTGGCGCCGTTGGAAACTCGCAATGGCTTTTACGTTTCTCTAGGCTCGTCATTATTTTAAACACATACTATTTAAAAAGAATTAAAAATAATCAAAAGAGGCCGCAAATCTTAAAACTTATATGAATTAAGAATATATTTTACGTAACTTTATGGAAAAAAACGGGAAAAAAATAAACTGAATGTAAAGGAACGGTAAAAGATAATGCATATTGCAAATCTCTTTTGTGAACTCGAGGCTTTAATTATTCATAATCATTTACCAAATGATACTATTTATGTTTAAAGCTAAGAGTGTCTTATCTCCAGTAACATTTTAATCTTACTTTAATAAAATTTCTCAAAATATCCAACCAAAATTTTTAGAGAATAACTACCCATAACCTGTCTTGAATTAATCTTTCACCAACTTCAATACAGTCAATCGTTTTTTTGCGAAGATTTTCTTTATATTTTGAATAGAAAACAAGACTTTGTCTCAAACTTAACATTGGAATATTTAAGGCTGAATCAAAACGGTATTTACTTAATATGGACTTACTAAGTTAGATTTATTAGATTTCAAAACATCTTTTTTTAAATAATTTTAAATGGTTAAATTAAACATATATATATATATATATATATATATATATATATATATATATATATATATATATATATATATATATATATATATATATATATATATATATAAAGGGTAAAAATATTGCTGATGATAATAATTGACATTTCAATAGCCAAAATAAAAGCATCTAAACTTTTGCATTTTTTAAATTTGATTATACCTCAATTTGAAAAACTATTTTTCTTAATAATCCTTAATACTATTTTTGGACAAATTTTTTTATAGCACCTAAAATAAGTTTATTCTAGGCACCTTAACAAATTATGGTTTAAGAATGTGCAAAATACAACATGAACAACGAACCAAGAGGAAATAAACCTTTTTATGATTTGCTGGTCAGATTTCCTACTTTGAAAAATTTCATATTTAATAGTTTTTTATAATTAGTGTCTTTTTTTTTAAGATTATATTTCTTCAATGTTAGAACTATAGAGGTGAAGTTAGAACTATAGAGTTGAGTTATAATGAACGACTAGTTGGGTGATGTCGACTTATAACAACTCCTTATAAGGTCTCGTTGTATAACTCGTTATAATAACTCGTTTTGCAGGTCTTTACTGCTAGTCATTGATGAAAAATTACCAATTAAATAAAGAAAAAAACTGAAAAAACTTTTTGCAAAGAAAATTTAAATGACCTTCCAGAATTTCCGATACAAACTAACGTCAAATGTGACGACAATACTGATAATATTTTTACATTTGAAGTGGTAAAAAAAAACTAAAAGAATTAAACAAACATAAATCATGTGGCATTGACGGAGTTCATCCTCATGTACTGTCTAGCTGCTTTGATTCATTGTCTAACCCGATTCAGTTCTTATTTAAGTAATCGTTTAATAGTGGTAAAATACCGGAATTATGGAGACTAGCAAATGTTACGTCAATTCACAAGAGTGGGTGTCATTCGGATGTTTTAAATTACAGAACTATTTCCATAACATCAGTGGTCTGTAGAGTAATGGAGAGCATCATAAAGCACAGAATAGTAGAACATCTTTCAACAAATAATTTAATACCAAAGGATCAACACGGCTTCATAAAGTGACATGCACAATAAACTTGGTTGAATCATTTTATCTAATTACAAAAGCTACCGACAACGGCATTCCAGTTGATATAATATTTAAAGACTTCAGTTGTTAATATTTAAAGACTTCAAGTTCAAACTTGGTTGAATTATTTTATCTAATTACAAAAGCTACCGACAACGGCATTCCAGTTGATATAATATTTAAAGACTTCAGTAAAGCATTCGATCGAGTAACACACACACGACTTTGTTTAAGAAAATTAATAGCATACGTAATAGTAAATAAGATGCTGAACTGAATAATTAACTATTTCAAAGATTGAAAACAGCGTGTCATAATAGGAGACGTCATTTCAGACTGACTTCATGTGCTTAGTGGGGTTCCTCAAAGCTCGGTTCTATTACTGTTTGTAATTTTCATAAATGTTCTTCCTCAAGACTCGGTTCCATTACTGTTTGTAATTTTCATAAATGACCTAGCATAACAAATCAAAAATAATCCAAAACTTTTTGCAGATTATATAAAAATGATTGGAATCGTAAAAGATAAAAACGATTCGATCAGTTTACAAAATGATATTAACATTATATAAAAATGGTGCGAAACATGGCAAATGTCTTTAAATGAGAGCAAATGTAAAGTAATTCACATTGGGAAATCAAATCAAAAGTATAATTATCAGGTAAACGGGCATCAATTATTAAAGGTATAGTTTGAGAAAGACCTAGGAGTGATCATCAGCGCTGACTTAAAGTGGGACCGGCAAATCCATTCCGTAATAGCAACGTCAAATCGTATATTGTGTCAGCTTAAAAATTCATTCAAATACATTAACATTACCACTTTTAATATGCTCTTCACGTCAATGGTGAGGCCACATCTAGAGTACGGTGCTTCAGTATGGAATCCGAATAAATTAAAAGATATCAAAGCAATTGAATCAGTCCAAAGAAGGGCAACTAAACTAGTCCAAGAAATTAGTAGTAAAACATACGAGGAAAGGATCCGCTGCCTTGGTCTGACAACACTTTTTTTAACTTATCGCATAATATTTTTTTAAAAATTCAAAAAATTTTTTAAAAATTTTGCTTTGGAGTTGGAGTCGGAGTCGGAGTTGGAGTCAGAGTCGGAGTTGTACTCAAAAAATTTCAACAACTGTAGTCGGAGTCGGAATCGTTACTTTTTTTTTACGACTCCACACCCCTGTTTACAACTACCATAAATGGTCTTTATATATCCATTTCTCACGACAATGTCGTTGTAGTTTGATAATAATGATAATAATAACAATAATAATAATAATAGCAATAATAATAATAATAATAATAATAATAATAATAGCAATAATAGCAATAATAATAATAGTAATAATAGTAATAAATTAGGTTTGTTAAAAAAATTATATTAGTTTTAAAAAATTAAAAATTATCTTAGTTTTAAAAATCTTCTTAAGACCTATCATTATGTAATTACTGAAAGAAAAAAAAATACTAAATTGTATAAGAAATTCTAGGAACATAACTAAATTTTAAATCTCACTTAAATCAAACTGGGGGTTCCCACTAAAAAACTTTTTAATTTAGGTCCCATCTTTACACGTTCTTAAAAGAAATGACCAATTAATGGAATACCCTGATTATTGAAATACCCTATAAAAAACCCTGCTAAGTCATTCTCTTTAAATGTGGAAAAATAAATTTAAAAAGCTGATGCAGTATCATACGCTTGAAGGTTAGAAAAATTCTAGTTTGCTTTACAGGTATTATACTTTGAATTTTACTTGAGCTGATAATTCAACTTGTTTGTGGCAAAGTTACTAAAACACAAACTATTAGTTAATCTTAGGATAAGAGAAATCAGCTTAAATACTTTAAACAAGAATAAAGATGTGATTAATGTTTATCCATTTGATGTTTTACAAATATTACGTTGATATAATAAACGAGTTGGATGCAGGGCCGGCGCTAGTATTTTTTGGTTTTTGAGATAGCTAACTTCCAGACATGGAGCAAACTCCAACCATATATATATTTATACTTATGTCAAATAAGGATGCTTTGCAAAAAATTGCGATAATTGGAGCATGAAAACAACATAGCCCAAAAATTTTTGCCTAGTCTGCCCCAAACGTGAGAGCAACAAGTTGATAAAATATTTTTTGTACTATTTTTAACTAGACTAATATTCATCGATAAATTTTAAGTTTCATAGTAAAATACTTTAGCGTTCAAAAATTATGACTATATAATGTTTAAACCCCCCTCAATTTGAGGGGGTTGCAAATTTTATATTGTTATAATTTTTGAACACTATGAAATTATACTATAAAACTTAAAATTTATCGATGAATATTAGTCTAGTTAAAAATAGTACAAAAAATATTTTATCAACTTGTTGCTCTCACATCTGGGGCAGACTAAGCAAAAATTTTAGGGCTATGTTGTTTCCAAGCTCCAATTATCGCAATTTTTTGCAAAGCATCCTTATTTGACATAAGTATAAATATATATATGTTTGGAGTTTGAAAGTTAGCTATCTCAAAAACCAAAAAATACTAGCGCCGGCCCTGGTAGGATGCTTTTCAAAAGTTAGACGAAAATATTTTAATAGTAAATGGCAATAAAGTATCTTTTTTAATAAGTTTTGAATTTCTCAAGTAACTGTGTTGTCTCTAACAAAATATTATTTAAGTATGATAACAGCATTAATAAAACACAGTTATTTGAACAATTTCAAAAATTTGGCTCAAATTTTCTGAACAGAGCGGTGAAATTTTTGTTTCTGCAGTTTTGAAAATAAAATTAAAAAAAAAAGTATATTTGCAAAAAGCAAAGAGTTTAAAATTTTAAAACACAATTAAATACACTCTTTTTTTAAACTGATACAAAGAAAAGGCCAAAGTATTTTGTGAAGAAGTGAAAATTACTTTGACTTATATTTATATCAGGAAGGGGAAGGGAGAATTCCCCTCGGGGTGTTTCAAACGGTAAAATTAATTGTTGATATATATATATATATATATATATATATATATATATATATATATATATATATATATATATATATATATATATATATATATATATATATATATATATATATATATATATATATATATATATATATATATATATATATATATATATATGTATATACATATTTGTGTTTATATATTTATTAGCGCTTAAATTCAATATGAACGATTCTTAATGGCAATAAAAATAAAAAGACTTACGATTTATTTTAATGCTAACGAGTAAAATGCTGAAATTAGCTAACCTTGGAATAACTTCGTTAAAAAAAGCAACATAAAAATGACAAACTAGAAGTTTGTTTCTGCAAATCTGAGATCTTAGAAATGTAAGTTTTTTAAAAACCGACAATAAACGAACGTTCCGTTTTTATAAGGAGTTCATGCCATTGTTTACATTTTACTATTTAATTTATTCAACTGTTTTTTAAAACATTTGTTTTTGTAGAAAACCTTTTTCCTTATTAAATAAATTTAAACAATATTTCTAGGGGTTAAATATACCCTTGTTATGCTCTCGCTCAATTTAATATTCAACTGTTTATCTAATTATTATAATATGCTTGACTTTTACTTGACTAGGAACTTGTCTTAAACTCCAAATTTAAACCTAAAATGCTATATAAATATTTAAATAGTATAAAATTCATCAAAGATTTAATAAAAGCATTTAGAATGCCTAACAGTGATTAATCCTTTAAACCAAATAATTATGAATTATCCTATTAAACACTTTTCAAAGTACTTTTGAGTTTTTTGAGACCAAATGTCTTGAAATTTAATTACATTGTTTATTTCAAGATTAAAAGGTGGAAAATCTGATGAAATGAAGAAAGGTGGAAAATCTGATAAATAAAGAAAGACATTTTCCACCTTTCAATCTTGAACTAAATGATTTAATTAAATTTAAAGACATTAGGCCTTTTGATTTAGTTTTAAGTTTTATCTAAACTTAAATCACTTAATTAAAAAAAAAAAAAATAATAACCTAGAGCTTTGTCTTGAAGCTTTGTTAAAAAATCCTCAAGGTATGTACTATTTCATTTGCTTTGCCACTAACCCTTATCTTTAAAGCATCATTTAGGAGCAGTCAACTCCTAAGTTGATTTAAGTTACAAAAGTTACATCTATCTGAAAAGAGGTGATAAAACTATTGCCAGAAATTATAGCCTTGTTTTATTAACATTTATTTCTTGCAAAATTTTAGGATCTAATATAAGAGAAGGAACTAAATAAAACATACCTGTATAAAAGCAATTTATTACTAACACAAAAAAAAATTATTTTGTACAAGGTAAATCTTGGAACATAAAATTGTTAGAAACTCTTGAATTAATTTCTTCTTGCATTAACCATGGTACAGCTGTTGATGTAATAATGCTAGATTAGCTAAAGCTTTTGTTCCTCATAGGAGACTCTTTTCTTAACTAAATTCAGGGCGTAGAGCTAAAAAAAATTTTTTTTTTCAAATAATAGAAGATAAGTTGTTCATGGTGAAACTGTTTTTATTTGGCTTGAAATTTTTAGTGACTTACCACAGGGCTCTGTTTATGGACTCTTGATGTCTACTATATATATTAATGATCTAGCAAGCAAATTAGTGAGTGCATACAATTTGTTTTCAGATGATACCAGGATTCTATCCAAGTTAATCTCAGATGAAAGTACCTCAAGCCAACAAAAAGATTTAAGCACATAATTTAAAAGAAGAGAAGACTTTCAAGCTTTCATGTCTAGATGAAAACTTGAAACTCTCTTTCTAAATTTTTTCTAAAAAAATTTTATTTAAGAACATTGAGCACTCTATTTGTAGAATACACTAACATAATTTATATATATATATATATATATATATATATATATATATATATATATATATATATATATATATATATATATATATATATATATATATATATATATATATATATGTATATATATATATATATATATATATATATATATATATATATATATATATATATATATATATATATATATATATATATAAATATATATATATATATATATATATATATAAAACGTTTATTTTTAACCATTATTTGCTTAAACCTAAACATCTAGTTGCTTGTTAAAACCAAAAGGTTTTTTGTTTGTTTATTTGTTTAAAAGTATGCACAAATAATTTTTTTTAGTTTTTAACTTTTATTTTCAAAAATATAGTTTAAACTAAAATGATAAATGTTATCTGGGCAGTTACACTCTATACTATTTTGTTTATTTGTTTTCTTGTTTTGTTATTTTTGATATCAAGAAATGAATTGCTAAGTGAGGTAAGTATGTCATTTTTAGGCACTGCTTTTTTTCTTTTTGTTCTTTAATATATATATATATATATATATATATATATATATATATATATATATATATATATATATATATATATATATATATATATATATATATATATGTATATATATATATATATATATATATATATATATATATATATATATATATATATATATATATATATATATATATATATATATATATATATCTTTTTTGACTGACACTGAAAAAGACACAGATTGGGGTAAACAAAATAAATTTTGAATTATATACTCATATTTAGAATAATAATTTTGTTAAAGACAAGCATGATATTGCTAAAGATGCATTTAAACGATGGATTTAGCAATGGAAGTTAAAGCAAAGTATTCTTTTTGAAAAAATAAAGAGTACTCATTCCACCTTTAAACTAGCTATTAGATACTATAAAAGAGACATGACGAGCAAATAAAAGCTCATAAGTGTGCAGAAAATTTTTATAACAAGAATCCAGAAAAATTTTGGAGTAGTATAAATTGTATTAGTAACAAAAAAGCTGTGAGCCACATTGCTAGTATGGGAGGAGCCACTGGTGCTAAAATGATATAGTAAAATGATATCTTATGTGGAGAAATCACTTTGAAGCAATGTATGACTCAATAAAAAATAAAGTCTAAAGTTCACACTGAGAAAATTCAGCTACTTAAACTAGGTAATGTAGATATTAACATAAGTATCAATGCAGTTTTGGTAGCAATAAAAAATCAAAAATCAGGAAAGCAGCCAGTCTTGATGGTTTATGTATGGAAGCTTTTATATTTGGAGGAAAAAAGTCATATCTTCTAATTTGTATGTTTTTTAACCTCAGTTTAAGGCATGGGTATTTACCATCCAAGTTTTGCGAATCCTCAATTATTCCTTTGGTGAAGTGCAAAATGGCCAACCTATCTGATGTGAGTAATTACAGGGCAGTTGTACTATCTCCAGCTATATTGAAATATTTGAATATATTTTGCAACAAAAAACAAATATACCAGACAATTTAAACAATTGCAGTTTTAAACAGAAGCACAACTTAATGCACAAGTTATTTAAAGAAAGCTATATACACATAGATTTTAATGAAGCGTTTGATAACGTTGATTACTGGTTATTATTCTGTAACCTATTAGATCAAGGAATATCAAAAAATTCTGAGTCTGCTGGCATTCTGGTACAATAACCAGGAAATATGTATTAGATGGAAGAAAGTTAAGTCTCCTGCTTGTAGTATAGGAAATTTGTTCTTTAGGTTTTACATTAGTAATTAAGTATTTAAAATTTCAAATATGCGTATCGGGTGCAATATAGCAGCAATTTTTCTTAATTTTTTTGCTTATGCTGATGACATAGTACTTAAAACTCCAGTGTTATTTTATCATATAGAACATGTTAAAGTGCAAGCTGCAGATATTTTTCAAAAATGTTGTTTTTTGAACCACCCTAATATATGCAGTGGCGTTGCTGAGGTTGGTGTCAGCCAGATTGGTAAACTTTTGGTACCATCTCCTCTTGACTAACAGGTGAAGTATAAATTAAAAAAAAAAGAATAAAAAAAAAAATTTGTTTAGAAAAAAAGTTCTGACATATTTGCTTTTTATTCATTTAGTGTCATCCCTCTGACATTCATGCAATATCTGTGGTTTGAGACCCACCTCTTCCTGATTTTTTTTTTACACACGCATAGCTGAATGTTAATGAAACTCTTTTAATTTAAGGATTGCTTTGTTTGATTCCATTTCATGTAATCATGAAATGGAATCAAACTCATCAGATGTAAGCATTTTGCCAACTTTTACTTGATTCTTGGCTAATAAGTCACTCAAACGTTACTTTCAATGTTACCGCAAAACTGAAATATGCCTTTTGAAAAAAAAAGCTACAAAAAAATCTTAAATGCTTAGTATTTAAAAACAACATCATAAGATCACATGTAAAATGATATTATAGTATGGTTTTACTAATCTTTTAACTAAAGTTTTTCTATAACAAAAAAACTAAAAATTAGTTTAGTTTATGGTCGTTTTATTTAAAAAATGAATTTAAAAAAAATAATTTTTATTATTGTGTTGTTATTTATACTTATTATTATGCGGATTAAAATAGTTATATTTATTTATTTAAAACATTATATTTATTTATTTAACATCTTCAGCATCTGTTAAAGTAATTTGAGTAATAGTCAACGAGTGGTTAAAACATTTAATCTAACATATGTCAATGTTATTCACATGTCAAAGTAACCTTAGACAGTGTTAACCCACATGCCTAAGTAACCACGTTATTTAACAATGAAATGTCAAGTCAACTAAATTTTGTTTTTTTGTTTTTAATGTTTTGAAAATTTATGCATTGGGTAAGGCAGTTTGATTTTGTAATAAAAATGCATAATAATGCTGTGGAGGGGTGGGGAAAAGGTTGTTAAAAGTATAAAGGTATGTAAAAGGGGAGGGGTCCTAAATCAGTGGTTTTACTGCATACCTACATTATGAATGCCTCCTTTTATAAAGCACATCAACTTCTGCCACCTAAATCTCACAAGAAAGGCATGTGATGAGTTATTTGAGACAATCTTCTAGTTTTGAAACCAATCTGAAACCACTCTAAAAATATAGCTATTTAGGTTTAACTCAAAATTGTTAAGCTTTGTTTCAATTAATTTAAGACTATCTTTTTTGTGTTCCAAAAACATTGAAGTTATAGCTTGCCTTAAACTTGGATTTTAAAGACCTTGAGCAGTCATACTTTATGTATAATATTTAAATCAAAGTATTTAAAACTACTATTAAATAAATTAAAATATTAAATAATAATAAAATATGAATAAAACAATTAATTATTATGTATAACTTTTTTAATTATGCCTATTTAAAAACACAAATTATTTCAATACTTTTAACACTATAAGTATAATATTTTTTTAAAGTTTTATAAATGAGAATAAGAATGCAACCATTTGAGCTAAAACAAGCAAAGAATCCTTCTTGAAAAAACTGGCAACAATCGAAAGTTGACTTTTGGTTGTTCCAAAATCTTGAATTTGAACTTTAAGTTGATACTAATGATGAAGTATAGTAAGAAACTTTTTATTTATAAATTTTTTACTTTTTCAAAATGGTTAAGTAATGTTGTTGGGTTATTCCATATGAAATCACCTAGTTTTTCAAAAGTGCCCCAAGGTACCACCTCAAATTTGCTTCAAATTTTGATTACCCACAGTTTTTATGAAAAAAACACAGTCCTGAAATTTCAGCTTGATTGACTAAACCATTCAAAAGTTATAATTGAATTAATATTGACCAAAATCTGAAAAATTTGAGTATCTGGAGCTTACAGTAAATTTTTTAGATTTTTACCCAATCATAACTTTTTAAATAAAATAGATGATCACCTGAAATTTTTAAGGGTAATAGTTTTTTAATAAATAATCTAATCTTGTGTTTTTGACTGATTTTAAACAGTTTTTGAGTTCTTGTACCTCAAAGTTGCTAAATAATGCAACAATAGAAAAAATTTTTGAAAACTTTAATGTGCTACAGTTTAATACCATCAGACAAGCTTTCCCAATTTTTGTTACTTTTGTGTACTTAAAGTAACCACTTGTGGAAAAACTAAAATTATGTGTTAAAAGTTATTTTAGCACTTGCAGCAGCTTGATAAAATATCACTTTAAAAAAAAAACACGATAGATTATATTCACTTCGGAGCCATAGAAAGTAGTGTAGACAGTTGAAATAAATTATGAAACTTTTTACTGGCAAGGTTCTATATAGGTTCTATACACCAAAAAAAAAATAAAAAATTAAAGACCTATACTCTATCTTATGACATGATTTTAGCATTTTTAGTGCAATGCTTTTTTAGTTTAAAAGAATACCTAATAGCGCAAGTTATATACTTGAAAAAAAGAAAAAAAAAAGAAAGAAGAAGTGTATATACACATGAAACACAAGTACACTAAATTGCTTTATCTCTGATTTACATAACGCATAATACTTTCATAATCATTATTAGCTAGTGTGTAGTCATGAGCACTTCTACCCTTTTGTTGAATAATATTAACTTGGCATAAAAAGATCCTTCAAACTTTCAACTTGGTAAATACATTACATGCTTTTATGATGATGAATGATACATAGAGCTTGTACTTGAGATTTGAGATATATAGAGCTTGTACTTGAGATTTGTACTTGAGAGAGAAAGGGATGGAGATACATAGAGCTCGTACTTGAGATTTGTACTTGAGAGAGTAAGGGATGGAGTACTTATTTAACATATTACTTTGTCAACTGGAATCCAACACTGATTTGATTGTACATCATGAATACATTTTAAATTTAATTTGTTTCTATGCATGAAATTACATAACATCTTGGTTTTCATTACAAGTCTCAAGTACAAGCTCTATGTATCATTCATCATCATAAAAGCATGTAATGTATTTACCAGGTTGAAAGTTTGAAGGATCTTTTTATGCCAAGTTAATATTATTCAACAAATGGGTATCATAGACAGTATTGCTAGATATTCTCCGTAAAAATAATTTCTCTCCACCTGGTACAAAACTGTGATAGCTTCTTGTGCCTGGTATTATGCTTATCTCTTTATGTTGTTTCTTTAGGTTAAAATAAGTTTCATTAATATTGATAATATCACTTGAAATGTAAAATAATATAACACTTTCAATTTTTTTTTTCAGCCCATGTAAACAGTTTGTTTGGTGCGAGAATCTGGTTTGCATTTGCTGCTCGTAGACTCACTTTTGCTACTTCTCTTTTTATAGTTCCTCCTATTCCATCACATAGACTTTTGCCATGGGATGTAACAAAGAAGTGGTGCTCAGCATTTATATTGTGATCTTCAAGATGGTACATGTGTTGATCCAATAGGCTGGGTGTATAAAAATGAGCAATTGCTTTTACTCAGTAATTGGTCAGCTTTAGGTGCAAAACTTCATGAGTTTTGCTCAAATTTTTATTCATGTAAAGTTAAGCAATTTACTCATTGCTCAGCTTTATATGAATAAAAACTTTAGCAAAATGCTCAAGTTTTTATTCACGTAAAGCTGACCATTTACTAAGTAAAAGCAAATGCTTATTTTTATTCACCCGATGTAATGTTCTTTTTGCCTCTGATAAGTAGGAGGATTGTGCTTCTTTGATAAAGTGGTGGTGACAAAGATCATAAAAAGTTTCACATTTTCCAAGTAAGTCTTTAAATTTACTTTACCATGGCAGTTGGAACATAGATAAAACACAGATAAAGTACCTTTAATTAAAGCAATTTTATTAAACATTTTGTTTATGAACTTTTATATTACTTATCTTTTTTTCGTGGACATTGTCTTGTGAACTCTTTGAATTCATAAATTTCAATGGCTTTTTTATTGAACAACATCTTTGAAAGGCTGTCCTATTTTAGCCTCAGGTTTAGCAAGTATTCCTTTTTCATTTTTTCAACTTTGGAGCTTTTTTAACAAGATGTTCTGAAAATGTTTTGCAAGTTTTTTCAATTGACCTACTATCAGAAGTTAGTGTTAGAAGTTGAATTTTTTCTTCCATCAAACTTATTTTCATTTTATTTTTTATTGCATCTAACAGTTGGTCTAAATCATTACAGTTTATACATTTTTGTTTTCCGATACTTTATCTTTTGGGTCTATATTCAATGCTGCAGCTACTAGGTTTGTCATACTAGTTGCAATTTTTTTGGCTTTTTGCTTTTCATATCCTAATTTTTCGCATCTTCTTACATTTTTGAGTAGAGATATTTCTAATAAAGACACACTCTTATAAAGAACTGTCTTATCAAGGTCTAAACTACTTAAATTTTCTTCAGCAGCTTCATCTTGACTACTTTATGTAATTTTTTCAAGTTTGAATTTGTTATTTTAAGTGTTATCGGTAATTCAGGAGGTGATGTTTCTAATAGTGCGCTATCTTTTTCAATTGTTTGTAGAGTTGTGGAGGAAGTTGTAAATAAAGGAAGAGAAATGATTATAATACATACTGGTCAAATAATCAAAAAAAATTTAGCCTTATAAACTTGTTAAACTCTTGCAATCAATAGACAAATCGAGCTTTTATTCACATGTAATGAGAGGAGATAGGGGGAGAAATGGGTTATTAATAAACAGAAGTAGGAATTTTTTTAATTCTATAAGTGAGTTTATATTTTCTAATTTTTATGACTTGAATGGTCTGAGAAATTAGAAAATAATTAATAAAAATTATTTTTTGTTTTGAGATACAGTTTATTTGTTCACAAAAAGTAAAATCATGGATGCGGATTCCCAAAAGGACTCCAGCTTTATGATGGAGTCCAAAAGCTCTAAATATGTTGGTTGACTTATGATTTACAAAAAGAAAAAAAAACAAGATTTAATAGCTTGGAAGTTATTGTTTTTAAGCCTGGAGTCCTTGCTGGAATTATACCTAAAGACTAAAAGTTTTTTTCCATTAGTAGTCCATAAGCTTTTTTATATTTTTAGAGCTCCTGAAAACTAAAAACTAAGAAGAAATCTTTTTGCAACTTTCAAACCGGAGTCTTTTTTGGGACTCCGCATCCCTGAATAAAATTCAATAAACGGGGGAGGGGTCTTAATAAGCTCAGGGTGGGTGGAAAAATTTCTCGAAAAGTATTAGACATCAACTGCTGTGTATTATGCACTTAAGAGTACCACCTTTTTTTACTTTCAATTTAACAAATTGAAAGGAAAAAACTTAACTTTCAAAGTAACAAGTTTAAGTAAATTTGACCATCTTTTTTTCTGTTTAAGAAAAGACCACTCTCCAATTTTTCGTAATAACTCTAACTAAACTATTCAAAATGACATCTAAAAAAAATTATAAAAAAAAAATCGAGCTACATCGGCATTTTTGTAATTAAACTCGCCCCAGTAAATTTGTAATAATGGTCAAGATGTTATGTTCATTTTTAAATATTTCAATTTGTTTTATTGGATTCCTTGCCTTAAAATATGTAAGTGTTCATATTTTCAGCTTTCCATTGCACACAGAGCAGAAACAATGACCAGAACCATTTTTCAAAAATGGCCGATTTTTGTTGGTTCAAGCCAAAGTTTGAAGAGTCATATCTTTGAAACCGTTTGGAATTAGATGATAAAATATTGGAAATATTCATAACTTATTTAGATCTTTGAGTGGTGTAAAAATGAGCAAAATCTGAGACTTATGGTTGCATTTTATAAAAAAATTGGATGCTTTCACATGGAATTGCTCTTTATTAAATTACCTTTGATAATTTGTAAACAACTTGTTGAATTCTTTACTGAGCCAATATGAAATTTTTTAAAACTTAACAAGCAAACAATTTAAACTTTGTATTTCTTGAATTCTTTAATTGTTTAATTTTGATCACTTTGTATTGAAATAATTTGTGTTTTTAATTAAAAGTTATACATAACAATTTATTGTTTTATTTATATTTTATTATTATTTAATATTTAAATTTATTTAATAGTAGTTTTAAATAGTTTGATTTAAAAAATATGATTTTTTTTTTTTAGTTTTTCTTTGCAAAATTTCAAAATGGTTGCATCTTCTTTCCAACATGGATTAAATGTTTTTTTGAGTATTTGTTATATCAGAGGTGAATAAAGTTACTTTTAAGTAATTTCAGTTTTGTTTAAAACTATTATATTATGGTAACTATTATATTGTTTAACTGCTTCTGCAATTTTTAAGAACCCGGTTGGTTAATATAAATAACATAATCTCAGAGCTGTCAGATTTTTAAAATTAATAAACTCTTTATGACTTAATTATATTGCCTGACCACAAGGTGCCAGCTAGATATCTTTATCATTAAAAAAAAAATACCTTCAAAATTAGATTAAGGGAATATATTTGAAATATTAGCATTTACTTTTTCTATGTTCTTGGTTAACTATTTACATTTTCTATGTTCTTGGTTATACTCCTAAATAACAATTTTTTTTTCGGTGATGCAGTATATTTAAAGCATGGTTGATTTTCTAGTCATCTGAAATGACTTATTACTTGTTAATGTTTTAGTTGGGTTAAAACATGCTAATAAAAAAGAGGGAGTTTTTGCAAATATTTTGTATACGCGGGAGGAAGATAAATTGCCTCTCGCAAAATGGGCAAGGCTTGACAGGTCTGTAATCTGAAATTCTTTTACTTCAAGCTCAAAGTAAATCAAATGGCCATCTAAAAAGAGAAGAATACTAGCAATTGTTATGCTAGGATTAGGAATCCTAACAACAGTTACAATCATTGTTATCATTGAAAATGAGTAAATCATTTAATTTAAATCAATTTAAATCATTATTAAAATCTGGGAAAAATCATGATTTAAATTGAGTTATTTGATTTGATTGTTTTTATTAATTGTTTATTGATTTTACAAAATTCACAACCCCTCTTTTTTATCAGGGGGGGGGGGGGTAAGGGAAGGGAGTCAGAAATTTTGCATGGTCATCACTTATAATTGATACTTTTTATTATTATACTTATTATATACTTATTATAATTATTACCACGTCCCTGGTTGAAACGGCGCTCAACTTATTTCTCCACGCAGTGACCTTGTTCGTCAAGGTTTGTTTTTCGAAGTTGAGAGAGAGTTCGAGTTGAGAGAGGATTATAACTACAAATAAGTAGCCTCCTCATCTTTAGTGGCCTTCTCGGCCTTGAGGAGATAAATGAAAAATATATATATATATTTTTAATTTATATATATATATATATATATATATATATATATATATATATATATATATATATATATGTATATATATATATATATATATATATATATATATATATATATATATATATTTATTATTGTTATTTTTATTTTTACTTATTGCATGTAGAATATAAAGGCCAACTAGTTTACTTACTCCGGCCTTAAACTTCCCATATTAACCTCAACATTCACTTTTGTTAGAACATTGTAGAAAATATCAATCAGACAACTGAACGTGCACTAACCAATCCTGAATCTAGTCAATCTACTATAGTGAAAGCAAGTTTATTTTATTTATCTAACAGGGTGGTGGCAAGAGAAAACAGTGATAAAACAGTGGCAGCTAACAGTAGCAATAGATTCTATTTGTATCTTATCAAAATCACCAAATCTAAAAATGAAGCAATTGATGAGCAGATAACAAGAATGATTTATGTTACTAATTCACCTTTCAGAATGGTTGACTATCCCAAGTTTATCAAAATAATCTATTTATTATGCTCAGGATACCTTTTTAATAGAATTGACATTAGTGGAATATTATTATATATTAACTGTGTATATATTAACAGAATATTACTGTGCACAAGAAGGGCTTAATCAACTGTTCAGGTTTGGTTTAAAATAGGTCTATGACCATGAATATTGATGGGTGGAGCAGTTACAGCAATCAGTTCAGATATCTATCTTGCAGATACAATCAATACATCTGGCTATTCACATACTTCTGACAATTTGGTTTAGCCCAAGATTCACCAATTTAAATATCAGATAGTTCGAGTTGATAATATTTTAGAAATAACTATTTTGCTGCTGGGACAAACAAAGCAAAAGGTTCTGACATATAATGCCTTAAGTTTTCAGCACACTAGATTTAAACACACTGGCTGGTTGCTATTTAAAACACGTTTTAACAACAACTTGTGAAGAAAATAGTGCAATAATAAATAAGAATATTTCAAATATTCATAATAAAGTTAATAAAAATCTTGGAATAAAGAAAAGGGACTATAAAATTATTACTAAAGCTCAAATAATTATTACAAAAGCTCAAATAATTGCTGTTGATTTGGACCTGATGCAGATAAAAAATTAGTGAGAATGAAAACATTTTCAGAAGGATTTAATACCTAAGATGTTAAGAAGCAATTTAGTAAAAGAATACAAGAGGTGAATAAAATACAGACTTCATTTCATCTTAATGCAACAGGCGAATAAAATAAAGACTTCATTTCAACAGGCAAATAAAATAAAGACTTCATTTTAACAGGTGAACAAAATATAGACTTCATTTCAACAGGTGAATAAAATAAAGACTTCATTTCAACAGGCGGATAAAATACAAACTTCATTTCAACAGGCGAATAAAATACAGACTTCGTTTCAACAGGTGAATAAATTATAGACTTCATTTCAACAGGTGAATAAAATACAGACTTCATTTCATCTTAATTCAACAGACGAATAAAATACAGACCATTTCAACAGGCAAAAAAAATACAGACTTCATTTCATCTTAATTGAATCTTGTTAATCTTAAAAATTTAACTTAAAAAGAAATAAAGATTTTTGGGGTGGGTTTTGTGGTTTCAATCAATCTAGATTTTCTTCCACTTTTGGTTACTTTTAAAGCAGAAGCTGCACTATTTAAAAAGCTTATTTTTCAAGAAAACATTGTTTGATTTATAGAATCATGTGATTGATATATATCTCACAGTGATCATTATTGGAAATTGTTGATTAGTTATTTGATGGTGTTTGTTAATCTGCAAGAGTTGAAAGAATATTTTCATCATTCGGTCTTATACATTCAAGTATTACAAATCAATTAAGAATTGAGAAACCAGCAAATTGGTTTTCCTATTCAAATTATTTAATCAAAAAGCATTTGAATCAATAAATTTATTGGATTTTAGAGTCAACATTAAAAATTTTAAAATATTTCAAATCTAATTAGAATACAATAAAATTTACTCAAATCAGTTTTCTTTTTTAAATGTGATACATATGTGATTAAAACTAAGTTTATATTTCAAAATTTTAATTAAATTTAATTTAAATCAAAAAAATCTGAATTTTATGAAAAAAAAAATTCAAATTTTTTGATTCTTTTTAAAAATTCATGGTTTTTATAAGTTCTGGTTAGAATAAGTGCTGCAAATCTCTTTAAAGCCTCTCTAAACAACTAAACCTTCATTTACATCACTATTACATTACCCTCCACTCCTTGATTTTTTACATCATTATTACATTACCTATCCTTCACTTCACTTCTTGATATTTCACTCATTTTTATTTAGTGTCATAGGTTGTACTTATTTTCTCCTTATTTCATATTAGATGTTTTTTGAACTAAATAACGTTTTTCATCTAATTTATCATTTTATTGTTTATGAATGTCTTTTGTCTGATGAAAAATCTCTGTAATGTCTTTGTTGGCAAATCTTAATTTATCTCCAGAACCCAGGTCGGCAAAGAAGTTTTTACTTCTGATTGTCAATTCTAATGCGTTAGTAGGCTAGTAATAAAACACTCATAAGCCTATGAAAATAAAAAACATGTTTCTCCAACAAGATTTAACAAGATTTGTGCTTCAGAATAGAGAAAGTTTCAAATAAAATGAATGAAAAAAATGAAGGAATGAATGTCTTTTTAACTGTAGTGGCTCTGAAGCTTTGTGAAAATGAATTTAATTTTAAAAAATGTAGAATTTTGCTCTTGATTGTATTTCTTTAATTACTGTTGTTTCCAATCATCATTACTTTTCCATTTTTTCACCAGAAAAATTATTATAAGAATACATGTTTTTTTAATCATAGATTGAACTCACTTTTGAAAAGTGTTTTCTATTGCCCATGAATTAAACCCCATCATTTTGAGAATACTAAATTTTATATATTTTCTCATCTGTTATGTCTTAGTGATTGTAGTGAAATAATGTTATTTCTTGTCATAGGTTACATATTTTTCTATAGCTTGTGGTCTAGGCCACAGTTAATTTAAATTATTTAGTCTTGGTAAGCAACCAACTTAAAATTTTTAAGTTTTGATTCTATTAGTTCAACAATTTTTTTTTTCTTCTGCTGATTTGTAATCAGTAGTTTTAAACTAAAGTTCTTTAATGAAATGAATGCAGTAATACGTTAATCTTGACATAAAAAGCATATCACAAAAAACAGTAACCAAAGTAATTATGCATAAAAAATGTTTTTGTTTAAATATGTATTTATATATACAGATATGATTTATTATAAATTTGTTCCTGCAATTATTTTTGTAATAACAATTGCCCATCATACATAGGTACTCCCTAATATATATTATATAACATTTATGTTTGTTATTTAGAAATCATGTGCTTCCAGTTTGCTATATCTTGTTGTTAAGCATTGGGTTTCTATTTTATACGTTCACAGCTTTCCCTTATGTTTCAGAATCATATTTGGGAAAATCTCCATATGTACTTTTAGCAGTAAACTTGTTTTTTTACATCAAATGCTATTATAATAATCCAGGTATCATCACTCACAAAAATCAAACTTTTTATGCTCAAGCTTATCCATATGATGGTTTTATGTACAATGGGGATGTTTGTAAAAGTTGTCTTATTAAGAAACCAGCCAGATCAAAGCATTGCAGTAAGTTATTTTAAATTATCATTGTAGTAAGTATATTTATATATGTAAATTGTAATATCAAGGTCTTATATTTATAGGCCTATATATATATATATATATATATATATATATATATATTATATGTATATATATATATATATATATATATATATATATATATATATATATATATATATATATATATATATATATATATATATATATATATATATATATATATATATATTAGGGTGTCCCAAAAAACAATATTTTTGAAAAAAATCTACTCTCACCCCCTAAATGTGTTCTATCTAATGCAAAAACACTAGGTTTAAATTTTTTTTGAATAAAAAATATTTTAAGGGGTCCCTCAAGACTCTCGAATATTTAATGGGTCCCTAATATTTTCGAAAAAAAAGTTTTTCAAAAATATGTCAACCTGGTACTCAAATGTAGCGAAATTATATAAATATTTCAAAAATGATATTCATTTCGAAATATTTTTTATTTATCAAAATTCTCATAAAAAAACATTAGAAATGCATTTTTTTCATTTTTTTTAAAAAAATGCAATTTTTTATGTAATAAAACCAAAAATAACAATTTTTTTTCGAAATGAATATTATTTTTAAATAACATATTATTTTATCTGTAATATGCTTAAAAAATTAAAATTAATTTAATTCATATAGTTAATTCTTATTTTGAAAAACTTTTTAAGCTTTCTAGCTACTAATTCTTATTTTGAAAATTTTTTTAACCTTTTTCGAGGCGACCATTCCTATGTTTGACTCTTAGGTTAACAAAATAAGAAAAATTTTAACTTAAAAAAAATAAGAAAAAGTATGTATGGGGTAAGTAAAGAAAGCAATTTTAAAGTTAAATTTTTTTTGAGTTTTACAATATTTAAAAAAATTATTGAGTTTTTTTCTAAACTCAATAATATTTTATTATACAATTGTTTTTACTAGTATTTTTTGTTTTAAACAAAAGTTTAAAAAAAAATGTTTTAATCAAAAATTCAAATAAAAATTTCCATTTTTCTTTTACTTTTTCCATTTTTTAATGCCTGTTTTTAATTAAATACACTCAAGAAAACTCTGATGCTGATTCATCATTCACTAACTGACCTTTGTAAGGCAAATCATTAAAAAACTGTTAAGCATGCAAAAATATTTTAAAACTTGAAGGTCAGCATACTTGGCACAGCTGATCAGCAGTTTCTAATTGTACAAGCATGTAAAGGATTTTTGTGACAAATTGCTTCTTTTGATATGACAACTCAAATTGTTCATTCCAACTGAGTCTGAATTGTAACATAATTCTTGGGAAAAAATAGTTTCATGAATATGGCGTGTTGGTATCAGACATTTGGCTTTGTAAAATGGTTTGATATCTTTAGAAAAATTTAGGAGCATGTTTAACTCCATCTTAATAACTTTAAATGGTAAAGGTTTCTTACTACATGTACAAAATTCTTCCATTGAATTTATTGGTAGCTCTGCTCGAACTTTTTGGTTAGCTAATACCATATCACAGTCACACTCCATATAGCTGTCGCTCCTCCTCCTCCTCGGAACAATAGCATTATTTGTTGAAATCTTTTATTATTCACTACATTAAAGTATAAAAAATGAATAATAGTACAATTTATCACATGAATTGCAAAAAAGTAGCAAATGTGGTTACTCTTCTGGTAAAATGTAGTCAAAATAGTGTTACATCATCTGCTGCCTTTTTACCATAAGTTTTATTATAACAAAATAAGTGATCACTTTTTTATCCTAAGCAGTGTATATCAAATATATACATAGAAAGCTGTCCACAATAATAAATATTGTTTGTAGAAATATAGGACAACTCATTTTTTTTAGCCAAGTCAAATGCAAGAGCTGCATGTTCAGTTTTTGTATTACAATGTGCTTCTCTCTTTTTGGCATAAAACACCTCTGCTTTCCGCAAGTGAAACTCTTTTTTTTGTAAGACTCTTAATGAGTTGTTCTACAGAGTTTCTTTGGTTTATAAGTATAGTATTGAGCTTGTCACATGTCGAGCATGTATCTTCACGTAGATAAAGTATCACACGTCGAGCATGTATCTTCACGTAGATAACGTATCACACGTCGAGCATGTATCTTCACGTAGATAACGTATCACACGTCGAGCATGTATCTTCACGTAGATAACGTATCACACGTTGAGCATGTATCTTCACGTAGATAACGTATCACATGTCGAGCATGTATCTTCACGTAGATAACGTATCACACGTCAAGCATGTATCTTCACGTAGATAACGTATCACACGTCGAGCATGTATCTTCACGTCGATAACGTATCACACGTCGAGCATGTATCTTCACGTAGATAACGTATCACACGTCGAGCATGTATCTTCACGTAGATAATGTATCTCACGTCGAGCATGTATCTTCACGTAGATAACGTATCACACGTCGAGCATGTATCTTCACGTAGATAACGTATCACACGTCAAGCATGTATCTTCACGTAGATAAACAGCTAATTTTATATTTTTCTACATTTTCCTGGTAAAAAAAAAGAAAGTAAAAAAATTAGATAATATCCAATAATATTTTATCAAATTAGTGTATGTACACTCCGTGTACATACACTTTTTTGATAAACTAAGATCATCTGGTAAATACAGTTTTTTAGTATCATGTAATGCATAATGATTTTTTTGTCTTTTAAAAGACTTGATATGATCAATTATATTATTATCAGAGGTTTGTTTGTATGTTTTCCTTGCTGGTTTTTAAGAGAAATTTTGTTAAATTTGTTCATTATATATTTTACTTAGAATGACTAATTAGTAAACAAATAAAAAAATATCGTTTCTGTTTACTTACCAGCCTTTACACGATAATATCCAATAATATTTTATCAAAAAAGTGTATGTACACTCCGTGTACATACACTTTTTTGATAAACTAAGATCATCTGGTAAATACAGTTTTTTAGTATCATGTAATGCATAATGATTTTTTTGTCTTTTAAAAGACTTGATATGATCAATTATATTATTATCAGAGGTTTGTTTGTATGTTTTCCTTGCTGGTTTTTAAGAGAAATTTTGTTAAATTTGTTCATTATATATTTTACTTAGAATGACTAATTAGTAAACAAATAAAAAAATATCGTTTCTGTTTACTTACCAGCCTTTACACGATAATATCCAATAATATTTTATCAAAAAAGTGTATGTACACTCCGTGTACATACACTTTTTTGATAAACTAAGATCATCTGGTAAATACAGTTTTTTAGTATCATGTAATGCATAATGATTTTTTTGTCCTTTAAAAGACTTGATATGATCAATTATATTATTATCAGAGGTTTGTTTGTATGTTTTCCTTGCTGGTTTTTAAGAGAAATTTTTTTAAATTTGTTCATTATATATTTTACTTTGAATGACTAGTTAGTAAATAAATAAAAAAAAATCGTTTCTGTTTACTTACCAGCCTTTACACGAGATCCTCTTACTTTTTTCTATTCTTCATTTTCCAACCTAAAAATTGATAAAAAAGCAATGCAAACTGGAACTTTAACAGTATTATTATCTCATGTCACTTTGATGTTATGAGTGATGTTATATGAGTGGTCATGAAGAAATCTTTTTTCTATTTTTTGTTGAGATCTTCTTCATTTAACGCTTAAAACCTTAATCATTGAAGCAAGAAAGCTGTCTTGATGATCTTTATTTTTCTTTTTTTTAAGTACAAAAGTAAAAATTCCCTCTCTTCTACTGTTGCGTTCTAAAAACACATACAATGCTTGCAATTACACGGAGAGCATTTTATATGCGAAGATAATCATTCATCTCTACCTACTTTTGACAAAGTTTTTTTCGATGTGGTCTATTTTTATATATTTGAACATAGCAGGTAATTTCCATTATGTTCAACATATATTTTGTATTAAAAAAAATAAAGAAGATATTTGCCGTTATATTTTTTCATACGAGTTATAGGTTGAACATAAGAGGAATTACCCGTTGCAAAACACAATACCTGGCATTATGTTAGCATTATGTATGTTATGTTTGAAAACCCGGTATAACAGGTAATTATATAAGTAAATATATATATATATATATATATATATATATATATATATATATATATATATATATATATATATATATATATATATATTAAAGTTATTCTTTAAAGGTCAATTCTCTAAAAGAAAAAACAAATAAAGAAGGAAAATTAAATTATTTAAAAAATATTCAAAAAAAGTTTAATATGGGTCCTATTTGAATAACTCTGGCCAAAGATTCTGATATCACTAAGTCTAATACGTTTGTTTTACACACTCCTACTGTTTTGTTGTTACACACTCCTACTCCGTTAAAATTAAAGCAGTCTTAAATATTAAACTGCCGCCACTTAGCAACCTCAGTACAACAAAGCGATCACTATACTTTTCAGATTTAAATCTTTTAACAAGAACTTTGCTTTTTCTATATGTTAATTCAAAGTTATTTTTAAAAATTACTTGCTTTCACTTCTCTAAAGACCTAAAATGGCCATTATAACTAAATTGGTTATCATAAGTAATTTTATCCAACATTTTATGGGAAATCGTCAAACTAACATATAAACTGATAAAATAATTATGAACAACGGTTGGGTTGACAAGAAAGTAGAACTGAAGTCAATTAAAAAGTTTGTGTGCCTTTTTTTTTTTCATTCTTTTTGTATGTTTTTTGTTTTTCTTTGAAAAAAGTAATTTATTAAAAAAAGTAACTATATATGAACTAATATACATCAAAATATATGTATATATATATCGAAAATGTATTTTTTTAAATTAGTAAATATATTGAATAATATATTATATTAATATATAACAATATATAATATATAACGATATATATATATATATATATATATATATATATATATATATATATATATATATATATATATATATATATATATATATATATATATATATATATATTTATATTTATATATGAATGTAAATATAAATATATATATGACGCTACAGTTTGCGCCATAAAACTGATGCATAAATAAATTATGTTTGACATCAGTCTTGCGAGGATTATTCTTGGAATACCTTTCTAATAATCTATCAATCTTTTAAGTTTACAACTTTAGGTCTTCCAGAGCGAGGTTCCAGAGCTTTCAAACAAAATGCAGACAAAATCTTTTTGCAGACAAAATCTTTTCATAATGTGAGTTATTTCTGGTTTAGAAACATTCTAAAGTTTAGAAATCTGCCTGTGAGTCATTTTATTTCCCACACCTTTTATAATTAATTCTTTTAATTCCTTTGAAACTTCCTTAGCCTTTCCCATGCTTTTAAAATATCACTACGAAATATTAAATTTTACGAATATTTTAGCCTTTAATTTTGTTTTTGTTTACAAAAACATGATTTAATTGCAGATTTTGTTTACAAAATCCATGACTTAATTGCGGAAATGATGCTGTTTCTAAACTTTTACACTAAAGCTTTTTCAAATAAAAAAATTAATTCTAATTAACTGTTTTTTTGACTTTTGTGTATATTTTAAATTGAAATAATATAAAGCACATTAAGTAAATGTTTCGGCTTATTTGAGAAAGTTTGTGAAAGGTTATGCAGTAAAAACTGATAAAAGTTGGTGTTTCTAAACTTTTGCATGCTACTGTTAGGGGGGGTCCATAATCGTCTTTTTTTCGATTTTTTATAGTTTAACCAATTTTTCTTAATTAGTTTTTCATGCTGATTCTGAAAATCATAATCATTTTTTTTTCATTTTAATTATTTAGCCCTCTACTTCGATTTTAATAAAAGTGAATATATTGACAAAAAAAGGTGTTGTTAAAAATAAATGAAATTATTATTTCCTCATTTTTCGAACTTTTTTTTCATTTTAATATATCTTTATCTACTTCAATAATGTCTAGTTTACAGCTAAATGGGCAGCCTTGTAACTTTAATCAAGCTAAAACGGAACTCATCTTGCACACCTGATGTAAAGTTTGCTGCTCTTCCATTGTTATCCATTTGTTTTTGTAGCTGGTTTCAACTATATTCCATAGTTTCAACTTTTTGGACAAATAACTGGACAATAATTCTCCAAAATATTTTTAAACTGCACGAACTTTAATTTTTTATATGGTTTAAATAATTAATTTTAATCTACTGTTGAAATTAAATGGGTTTTTTCCGAAGCTTTCCAACTGCAACAACTTAATTAGAAAGATAATACTAATCATATTCAATCATCAACCAAACACATTATACTTTTCTCTTTTTTGAAGTCCTGAGGCTAACTTTTGCCAAAATACTCTAGCAAGAATGATACAATCATTCAACCTCTTTGTGGTATACTTATTAACTGCTTCTAGAATTTTTTTAACTAGCTAATCACTGCATTTTAGAGTAAAGAGAATATTTCAAAATTTGATCACCCAGTTTGTTTTTTATAAAGCCTTTATATATATATATATATATATATATATATATATATATATATATATATATATATATATATATATATATATATATATATATATATATATATATATATATATGTATGTATGTATATATATATATATATATATATACATATATATATATACATATATATATATATATATATATATATATATATATATATATATATATATATACATATATATATATATATATATATATATATATACATATATATATATATATATATATATATATATATATATATATATATATATATATATATATATATATATATATATATATATATATATATATGTATATATATATATATATATATATATACATATATATATATATATATATATATATATATATATATATATATATATATATATATATATATATATATATATATATATATATATATATATATATGTATATATATATATATATATATATATATATATATATATATATATATATATATATATATATATATATATATATATATATATATATATATATATATACATATACAGAGGTGTATATAAATAAGTGCTAGACATCGATGCCACTTGGATCATTATCATTGCAACAAACAACATTAAAACCAACTATTGTTTATTTTGTAAGAAAAAAATGAATTAATGGTTGGTCGCTTTCTACAGGAGTAAGATTTCAAAGAATATTTAATGCTTTATTATTTTTTGCTCACTTGGTTATTGTTTGTAGGGGTAAATTTTTGAAGAAAATTGAATCCCCTGAAGGGAGCAACAAATTTTTTAAAATTTCAAGATAATATTGCATAAAATAAAATAAAAAAATTTTATTCTGTTTAAATTGTTTTAGGTATTTGTAATCATTGTGTTGCAAGATTTGATCATCATTGCACATGGGTAAATAACTGCATTGGTCAACATAATTATATATACTTTTTCTTCTTCTTGTTGACTCTTGTATCAATCTGTGGCATTTCTTCATTTATCACTGCTGTTGTGTTTTTACATATAATTGAAAAAAGGAATTTACATCAATCAATCTATTCAAATAGTAGTGGCATTGTTCTCCAACCAACATTTGGAGTAATTTTAAATGTAAGTTTTTTTTATGTAAGTAAATTTAAATGTAAGTTAGACCAGTTAAAAATAAGTTATTTTTATATGACTCTTTAATATAAAATTTCAATGATTAAAGCAAACACACAGAATTTTGTCAAACAAGCAGTATAAATTATTTATTTAACTTAGTATTCGTTACTATTTCTTTTAAAAATAGTTATCATTTTCTTTGAAAGACATCAAAAAGTGCATACTAAGGGCCACAACTATAAAACAAATATGTTTAAAGATACTTTAAAGACTTTCAAAGTAAGCCCAAAAAAAAATTTTAGGTGCCATAAAAAGGTGAAAAAAGATTCTCGGGTTCACGAAAGGATGAATTTTTCCATGGGAGTTACTAAATCAAGACCATTAATTAATCAATATAGTTACTATGCACTACTACTAGTAACTATAGTTACTATGCACTAGTTAATAGTCCTGATTTCGAATAATAATAGTTCAAATTCGAAAAAGTTCTTTATATAGTTTTGGTGGTAGCCAAATGCCCTTTATTAAACAGCTGATATTGATTGGTAGTATTGCAAAGTGCAGGAAGAGGCTTGTGTATATGTGGTTGTGTGAATTAGGCAGTATTAAGTCTTGCATAAAAATTATCTTCGAGAGTATGCACAAATTGATGATATGGTAAAGTGGCACATATATACATTCATATTTATTCACTATACATGTGTATGCTACACCTTCATTCTGTGTTAACTTATTAAAATTGAAATCTCTGGCTAAGCACGTTTACTTGATCATAATCGTAACCTTTTTTTTTTTTTTTTTTTTTTTTTTTAAGCATCTTCACTTCCAACAAGGCTGCAAGCAACCACTATAAGAGTTGGAAGTTACTGGAAGAGAAAAGACTAAATCTGTAGAGCAAGATAACGATTGACTGATGACTTAAAAGATTGCAAATTATATGAATCAGGAAAGCAAGATGAAGGAAGCGAATTCCAAAGAACTGATGTTCGAGGAAAAAAACTAGAAGAATAAGAGTTTTTGAAGCACTTAGGAACAGTCACAGAAAAAGGATGAGACTTAATTGAATGGCGAGTAACACGAGAGTGAATTTTAGTAGATGGCACAAGGGACGCTAGCTCTTTAGAGCAGTGCCCATTATAGTATTTGTAGAAAAGAGAAAGAGAAGCAACATTACGACGATGTGACAAAGGTTGGAGATTGGCTGCAAGAGCAGGTCCAACTATGTTTACAATTCGTTTTTGCACCTTGTCTAAAAGAGAAAGAGCATCATTAGAAGATCCGCCCCAGATGTGGCAACAGTATTCCATACAGGGACGGATTTGAGATTTATAGAGATAGAGAATAGAATCTGGAGTAAGAAAGTGTCGAGCTCGATAAAGAGATGCAACCTTAGCAGATGCTAATTTTGCAATGGATTTGATATACGGTTTAAAAGAAAGATCAGAAGTAAGAGTTAATCCTAGAAGATGAATGGTAGATGACTCATCTAGTACATTACCATTCATAAATATAGGAAGATCTAAATTATTACGATAACGATTGGCCGAATAAAATTGAGTTTTATCTGAATTAAAGTTCACCAGCCACTGTGAGCCCCATGCTGTAGCAGAAGTGAGATCCTTTTCAAGCTCAGATACCCCCTCCAAGCAATCAGAGAGTGTAGGCTTCTTATCATGACAAGAGTAAATGGTAGTGTCGTCAGCGAATAATGCCACCTTAGATGTGAGAATATCTGGAAGATCGTTAATGTAAATTAAAAAGAGTATAGGGCCAAGGATTGAACCTTGAGGAACCCCTGAAGTTACAGGATGTGAAGAAGAGTGTTGTCCATCGAGGACAACTTTTATACTACGATTGGAAAGAAAGGACTCAATAATCTTAAAGACGTTACCAGCTACACCATAAGAAGAAAGCTTATGGAGAAGACCAGCATGCCAAACTTTATCAAAAGCTTTAGAAATGTCAAGTGCGATAGCCTTAACCTCTCCACCTCTATCTAATGCACGGTAAAACCTATCGGTTATTACTGTTAGCACATCAGCTGTAGAACGAGAAGACCGAAATCCATATTGATGATCAGAAAGTAAGTTATTTGATTCAAGATGAGAGATTAAGTGTTTGTTGATTAAAGATTCAAAAACCTTGCTTATGACAGGAAGAAGACTAATGGGACGGTAGTTAGATGAATCAGATCGCTCTCCGGAATTTTTGAAAATAGGGATAACAGATGCTGCTTTCCAGCATGATGGAAAACAAGACTCTGATAAGCACTTGTTAAATAGTTTAGAAAGTATGGATGAAAGCTCCGGAGAACACCTCTGCAAAACTACAACAGGAATGTTGTCAGGACCACAAGCTGTTGAAGAGTCTAAGCAGGAAATTACTTTAGATACAGAAGCTGAAGTGATGCGAATGTCAAACAAGGGATCAACCTGTTTGACGGCTATGTCAGGTAAAACGCAACTAGTGGAATCAAGAGATGATATTGATGAAAAGTTCTTAGCAAACAATTCAGCTTTGTCTTTAGGTGAGGTGACAAAGTCTGAACCATACAAGAGAGAAGGAATAACAGATTTGCCCTTATTATTGATACTGTTAAAGATTCTCCAGAAGTCTCGAGAGCCTAATTTTTGTGATGAGATACGAGATTTAATGACCTGGGAATAGCGAGCTTTGGCGTCAGACAAAACCTTTTTACAATGGTTTCTGGCGATAGTGAACAGATGTCTGTTTTCTGGAGAATTGATTTGCTGATAGATATGGAAGTAACGGTTTCGATTAGAAATTGCTGCAGCGCAATGTGAGGAAAACCAAGGAGAAGAGTGAGGCTTGACCTGGAATCGTCGAGAGGGAATAAAAAATTCCATGCCAGCCTGAATCCACGAAGTTATGTAAGAAGCACATTTGTCAGCAGGAAGACGAAAGATTTCTACCCAAGGGCCATCACGAAGAAAATCACGGAAAGAGTCCCAGTCAGCTTTAAGGTAGTTGTATGTGGTACGATGATAGGGGGATTCTGATGAAGTAGAAGAATTTGATAATAGTTTTAGAGAGATCAAACCGTGATCAGAAGTACCTAAGGGTGAATGTGGAGAAATTGAGCACTGACTAGGATCCAAAACAAGACATAAGTCGAGTAGAGAAGGTAAATGATTAGGGTTGTCTGGAAAACGAGTTGGAAAGTTGACTATTTGAGTTAGAGATTGAGAAAGGCAAAAGTTGAGGGCCTTAACGCCAGCAGAGTCACTGACACTAGAGCCAAGCCAATCGGTGTGATGGGCATTAAAGTCACCAACAACGACGATATTGGCCGATGGATAAAGAGAGAGGGCTTGGTCAATTTGATCAGAAATAACATCAAGAATAGTGCAGTCTTGGGATGAAGGAGAGCGATATAGAACAAAGAGAAAGGCGATAGAGTGAAGTTGTGCTAAACGAAAGCACATAAATGAATAGTCTGTAGATTCAAACCTAGTTTCACGACAAATGGGCGAGTTCTTACGAATGTAGATGCCCAGGCCAAGCATGTGATTATTGGAGTCTTTACGAATTAAAGGAAGATAACCATCAACACTAAGATCACAAGATGGGACAGCCGAACTCAAATTAGTCTCACAAAGAGCAAGTAGGTCTGGTGAACTTTGCAAGAGATAAGACTCAACAGAAGAAAAGTTACTTCGAAGACCACGAATATTAGTAAATGATAGGTTTAGAGAACTTGGTGATGACAATGGTTTTTTGTGTTTTTTAGTTTTTGGTACTTTAGTCATTTTAAATTTATAAAGAACTTGACTCAAGTATAGATAGTACTCAGTACACTATTTAACAACTAAGCAATAGCCTCATTACTATTAATAGACCCTAAGCCGTAACAAAGGGCTCCAAATGTGGCCTCTGCAATGCACACCAAAAGTACAAACAGGGACACCATCCATGCGCAACATGGCACTGTTAGTACTCTGATATTTTTCGGCTGTTGATGGAATCAGCCTCTCTGAGAGCTACCACAGAGTTCGGGAAACCTGACTACCAGCCGGCCTCAGAACCATAAAACTGAGTTTTAGAGCTGTACCCTCATGAGGAGATAATAGAATGAGTTGCCCAGTCATAAAAATAGAGACACAAGCAATACCCACGCATTGAGTCAAGAAGATCCAGCGTTCAACATCCTAAACTGGAAACAATGTATTAAAAATACATCTGCGCCAGCCTAATAGATGAGGAAGGGGTGCGAGGCTGGTTAACAGATAGAATCTGTTTACCCCTTAAGTCTTTGCCTAGGAGGCCTTCTACAAGACAGCAGCTGGATGCATGTAACATCTGCCCAAGATGAGTATTTTTATCGAGACACCATCTCTAGCCTTTACTCAACCAAGAGCCCCAAGGCAGGGGGTGTTTTAATTCGGAGTTAACTTCTCCTAGCCTTTGCCTAAAAAAGCGTATCCTACAAGGCAGCAGGACATGGAGCAGGTTGTACTGGGTTACATGTTACCAGTAGCAGGAAAACCTGACCTGACCAGGAAAACCTGACCTGACCTGACCTGAAAACCTGACCTGACCTGAGCAGGAAAACCTGACCTGACCTAATATGTAAAAACTCCCTCAAACTTTTATTATTATTTTTATTATGATTATTATTTTTAATATATCTATTGTTTTTATTATAACTATTATTTTTATTATAACTATTTATTTTATTAGGATTAATTAAGAAATAAACTGTGCAAAGTATTTAGGAGTAGCTCAATTAAAGTGGATGAACCACTTCATCCACTTTTATGTGCTTTTGTTTAGCACCACTTCACTCTATCACTTTTCTGTTTGTTCTATATCGCTCTCCCTCATCTCAAGACTGCACTTTTCTTGATGTTATTTCTGATCATATTGACCAAGCCCTCTCTCTTTATCCATCAGCCAATATTGTTGTTGTTGGTGACTTCAATGTTCATCACACTGAATGGCTTGGCTCTAATGTCAGAGACTCTGCAGGCATTAAGGCCCACAAC